TTTGTCCATGTCGTTATCGCTTAGTTCTTTGACGTACGATAGCTTAAAGGATTTCAAATCAACATCATTTGTCCTGTGTGTTAATATTATGGTTTTGGGAATCCCTAGCTTAGAAGACCATTTTCGTAGTGACTTCTTAGAAGATCGTAGCACAGATGTCACCACGTTTGCATGTGTGCCCCTTCGCGTTGAGTGTCGTCATGTCCTCGGTTTGTCCTTAATTGATCCCGTGAAAAACAGTTTTATGTTCCCGTTGCAGTATCGTCTTCATCGGAGGAGCTGGTTTGCCGAATCTTTCAGTGAAGTCAAGTCGCAAATCCGCCATGCTTTTGCCAGAATGCACACGATCATTTGTCCATAAACTTGCAAGCAGCCTCTCTTCTAAACTGTAGGAAGTCATGTCAGCCATGTGAAATAGAAAATTATATTATGTAGGAATGACAAGACTTTCGGACCACCCTGTAGAATAAATTGGCACTAATTCTACGATCACACTGATAATTGAAGATTAATAACCATGAATAAATAACGAATGTTTCATGTTTGCCTGGACGAAAGAAGATTTCTATGGGAACAGGAACTGTTTCTCACAGGTTCAAATAAAGACAAACGAAAGAAAGGAGATAAGTACAAAGAAAGAAAGAAAGAAAGAAAGAAAGAAAGAAAGAAAGAAAGAAAGAAAGAAAGAAAGAAAGAAGGAGATAAGTACAAAGAAAGAAAGAAAGAAAGAAAGAAAGAAAAGAGAGAAATACAAAGAAAGAAGGAAAGAAAGTAAAGAGAGAAGTACAAAGAAAGAACAAATGAAAGAAAGAAAGAAAGAAAGAAAGAAAGAAAGAAAGAAAGAAAAGAGAGAAGTACAAAGAAAGAAAGAATAAAAGAAAGAAAGAATAAAAGAAAGAAAGAAAAGAGAGAAGTACAAAGAAAGAACAAATGAAAGAAAGAAAGAAAGAAAAGGGAGAAGTACAAAGAAAGAAAGAAAGAAAGAAAGAAAAGGGAGATGTACAAAGAAAGAAAGAAAGCTAAATATTAACGAAACCGAAAGAAGGACAAAAAATATAAATAAAAAAATTGAAAATCTTTAAAAATAATTGAAAACCTGACGAATTTCCTACAAATGAACCCTATTTATATGTAACAATTTTCTATCCATTTACACAAACTTATCTACTTTCTTCGCTTATATCGTCTTTGATGTATTCTCTTTGGGTTCAATTCGCCAAGACTTTTTTCTTATTATTTTTTATCCCAAATATTTCAGTTGTCTTTTTTTTAAAAATTTTAGCAACAGTTTCTTTGTAGTTCTTATTACCCTTAAAATTTCCTCATTTGTCGCATGTCCTGTCCATAGTATTCTCAAAATTCGTTATTAAAACCATATTCGCTTGCCTTAAGTCTTTTCTTTATCCTTGACAGAACTGTTCCGCATTCACTGCTAATGAAAAGCTTAGACATTGCATAACAATCCAGAACTCGTTTCTTCCTTTCTAATGATAGTTTTCCGATCCTTAACATCATGCATAATTTCTAAAAATGTTTCTAAAAGAAAGCGAAAAGTCCAGACAGGTTATTTAAAATCCAGAACCAAGTAGGAATCAAATAAGAAATCCAAATGAAAGCAAGCTGAAGGAAATCTAGCAGAAAAATACGGATAGGAAAAAGAAAAGAAAAACTATTCAAATTTTTTTCCCCCCAGAGAATTTACGAAATGAACATTTAATGAAATTTATATCATCAACGGAAATTTATTTGGCAGCCTCTATTCTAAAATTATTTTCACTTTCCGTCAACCTTTGGCGGGATTTTTCAGGACGAAAACTGGCAATGCTACATTAACAACGGGCAGAGAATCGTTGTGGGGAAATGAAGCTTAAAATTTGCGGGTTTTTTTTTTTTCTTTCGGCAAATTTCCAAGCAATCAGCCGACAATCAGCCGACGATGAGCCGCCAGTAAGAAAAGTGGGTCCTTGATTTTCTTCTCAATGAACACTAGAAATTATTCACATGTTGAACTATTTTCGCTAGATGCATTTACTTTATTGCTTTTTTTAATTTCTTTTCCCTGGTGCAAACAGTCGATGTCCGAGAGAGGGTATACAGTAGAAATTTGAATACTGATTACCCAGGTAGACGGTCAGGCATACGTGCGATACTTCTAGACGAGGAAGATCATCCCAAAATATCTTCTTATCTCTCTTCTAGCTTCATTCTGCTTTGTGCTGGACTTATTATATATATATATATATATATATATATATATATATATATATATATTGTTTTTAATTATGTTCTAGTTTCGTTTTTACATTTTCCCTTCTTCTAAGCGCTGGAATAAACTCTTTTGAAGACACGTCAGGATAGATTTGCAAAATACATAACCTGCCAACAAAGCATCAATTCTTTGAAGCTTTATTGGAAGGAAATAGAAAGAAAGAAAGAAAGAAAGAAAGAAAGAAAGAAAGAAAGAAAGAAAGAACAAACAATTAAAGAAACAAAGAAACAT